TCATGGAGAGGATGAAACAAATGTTTGTGTTATCAGTTCCAGTCTTGCCCAGACTTGTTACAACCGAGGAACGTTTTCTTCCGAAGACCTGTGGTTATTAAGCTTTGAATTCTACTTCAGTTTTGGAAGTGAGTTCTTAAGACAACAAATATTTAAAACCACAATAAAAGTTAATGTAATGACTGGACAAGGGTCTTTAAACTGCTTCTTGCTTAGTTTGTTCCTAATGAGGGCTATGATGAAGCTCTGTGCTAAGGAGGAACTGCCTTGCTTGAGAAATTTCCAAATTTCAGTACTGTTTCCTAAAATAACCTAAAATGATTAAAAAAAACCCAACCCTTCCCCATAAAGAGAAACATATTCAATGTACACATTTCAGCACTGTCTCTTCCTCCCTTGCAATCCTTCAGGCTCAAAAAAACCCCTTCTTTCCCGCCCGCAATTTCCTTCAAACGGTTCGCATCTCTGCCAGGAGGTTTCATCTGACAGCTGAATACTGCTGAAGAGAACGGTATGTTCCATTTAGGAATGGATATTGCTTCCAGTTTGTTTCATGATGACTGCAAAAAGAAGGGACTGCAGCTATTACTTTGTTAGATTTAGCCAAAACATCCCCAGAAGAGACAGGAGTGTACGCTGGGAATTGCCTGATGAGCCTGCTGGGAGAGTACCTACCTGGGCAGCAGTCCACTTGCCTCACCTCTGCGGCACTTCCGCAGCGGCTTCTGAGGGGTTTAAGCGCGCGACAGTTGAATTCAAGAATCTTTACGGCCACTCTTTGGCTAATTTTCAGATTATGCAGTTTCAGATGTGCATTCCAGGGATGCTTCTATGTCATTCAAAGTGTCATCAAAGCAAAATATTTCCTTCAATACTTCCATTCTTATTTAAGATGAAATTTTCTGCATGGCAGCTATGCTTTAAGTCCATTTATCCATTCACTGAGCTTATTTGAACAAAACTTGCAACCTCAGTACCATATTGGGAGTCAAATTTGCAGATATTAACGTTAAGTATTTTTTATATAACTTACATCACTAAAGTTTTCAAGATCAGCTTAAGTTTCAGGAAGCCAAACTTCTGCTACAATTTCAATGTGACTCTGCAAAATCTGAAAAAAAAAAAAAAGATGGATATTAGGCCCTGGAAGTCAGCACACAAAAGTACTACAGAAATACCAATTCTACATTAACAGGAACATCCAAAAGCTATGAAAGGAATCACATTAAAAACTAGAAGCTCTACTTATTCAGCTGACTATGGGGAGTCCCTGATTATTGTGTGTGCCTTTTTTAAGGCAGTAAAAAAGACAGTAACTGAAATGATCCAGCAAACCACCCAGCTGAGAGCACCCCACAGGATTCCCTCTAGACCAGGTCCCTCCTCAGCTGCTGCATGACATGGCAGCCCAGCCTGAATATGTCTCAGGACCAGACTTACTCCTCAGGTTTCTCTGATGGATGCTGTACATGTCCTTTTCAGTACTCCAGTACAAAAGCAACATAGACAACAAAATATCCTTGCCTTAAATAAATTGAGATGAATGAAAAGGAAGGAGGAGAAGAGAAAGTAAAGGATGTGAAAATTACCATATCTGAGCCTTTTGCTGCTGGATATATGGCTGAAAAGCATATTGTTTGTGACTCCAGTGTAATGAGGGTATGCTGTTAAGAGAGTGTGCTACAATCTGTGTTGTTCGTGCACTGGGGGACTTCAGAAGAGTTAACTTTAATGGAATAGAGATGGAAAAAATAGATAAAAAAAAAAAAAGCTTTCTTTTTATGGAAAGAATATCACCATTCTCACAAAGACCTCTTCCTTGAAACAGGAATATCTCTAAAGGAAAACTCCCTCTGATGTGAAACCCATACAAAGCACAAAGGAAATGTAAAAAGGACCTATGAGAGATTTTTTTTTCCTTTTCCCCATGTACACTTCCTGACTCCTCTGTTTGCAGGTGGGTCACCTGGGATGGGTGTTCCTTCCAGCAGCTGAACTACAGTGTCTTAGCAGGGCAGCACGGATTCAAAACAAAAGAAGTTTCCTCAAAGGCCAGGCAGGTGCAGTGACCACTTTTGCTAAAGGGGAAACACTTGTGCCCTTTCCCCATCTTTTCTGAACCATGTCCGCTTCACCTTACAGCCGCATGCACTGCAAAAATGTAACTTTACCTAGCCCCAAACATCTCCAGAGAGCTGCTGCTGACATAAGCGGTAGCACTATATAAAATAGTCCAAGAAATTATCATGTGGGCATCCAGGAAACGAGAGGCATAGGTAAGGAAAATTTCTTTCTTCTATTCTTTAGGAATTAGGCTGAACTCTGAATTTAATTTAAAACAAAGATGTGCCTTTTAGTAAGTTTTGGGACATATTTTAAGACACTGGAGCAGAGGGCTTATTTTTGCAGAAAAAGCTACACAAAGCTAGAATTTTGGCTTAGTTTTTAAGCGCACATAGTTATGAATAATGCCTGCTCCTCTTTTACACAGTTCAGTATTGTCAATATTTAATAATTACAAATGGTAAGATTTGTCCTGACAGAAGATAGATCAGACAGATTTTGGCTAAATACTTTGTTAACTGTTCACTTCAGAAGTTTCCCAAAATTGTGTAAACATTTTTGTATGAGGAGAACTGTCTGTCTTAGAGATAACTCCTCCCCTCAGCTTGCCTTCCCTTTTAAATCTTTTCACATTATTGTATTTTGGCACTATTACGGTTTTTGGATCCTCTCTCAGAAAGGCAATCTCTAGTTTTTAAACTTCATAATTAAGGCTAGTGAAATAGACAGAAGTATTCATGCAGTGAACATGCAGTTTCCTCTAGACTCTCTAACACATTTTTTAAAAAATCTCTATAGCCACAAGAGGCAGAAATGGAGAGGATCCATGCCCAGACTCCACCAAGGGCAGGATGTTGTAGAGTGCCAGCTTGGATATTCCAACAGGGAACCCTGGGGTCCAGCAGTAGGCTGAGCAAACAGGCCAGTGGCCCAGGGCATCCTCTTCACACATCCCACACCAGCACGCCTGGGTAAGGCAACAGATGCTTAAGTCTCCATGCTTATTCTAGGTAAGAGTCTCTTGCAGTCCATCTGGACCCATTATTTCACAACTCTCTATACCTAGAAGTACTTGCTGTTGTTCCTTCATTTTTTAATGGTCTAGAAACCACAATTCCAAAATATTCATCAGGGAGACAAACTCTAGAGAAAAACAAGAAAAAAACTGCATTTAGGGCCACAGGAGGCTGATTAAAATTCTTCAAAATTCTGCTTTCCTGTTTATTTCTGCCCTGCTGTTTACTGAGAAACTGGCTTTGCCCCAAATTTTAAGGAATCACCTTTGGTAACTTGCAGATGCTGTATTTGTTCTTTCTTATTTTCCCACATCATTTTTGGAAGGTCAGAAGTAAACAGAGGAGCATGTTATATGTAAATCTGCTCGCAATGCAGCAATGATGTTTGAGCCAAAAGCACTAGAATAATAACAGTGCTCTATGCCAAAGGCATTTTGGAAGTCAATTAGGATTTATTTTGTAGGCAATAAAGTTGTATGCAAGCTGGAAACATTTAAATATAGGAGAATTTCAACATGAATCACCAATGAAATGCCCTAACCCATCACAGTTTTAAGCTGGCTTCTTGCCTGTATTAAAAGTGTAACAGCAACAATAAAATATTCTCACGCACCTCATACTTTGGTTTATTAACTAGAAAAAATGACAAGAGCAATACAGTTCTAAAGGAAAAAAATAGAAATATTGAAGAAATATTAGGGATTACTTAAGGTAGAAATCTTAAGCTTATTTAAGTTCTTTTTTATGAAAACTTTTCATTAAAAAATGTCTAGAATTAAGTCAGATAAGATGATCTCATGATATTGCATTGGGATATGACACAATAGGTTCCCCAGGAAGTTCCTGGGGCGAGATGGAGGAAAAGTTGGAGGGAGGAGGTGAGCCTTAAGCCTCCCCTTCCTCAGTGATATTCAGAGGGAACTCCTTCCAATGGCTTTCGTTCAAAAGCAAAGGACAATACCCTCTTGGCTGGGGGTAGAAAACTGCAAACAGGGGGGTGCTCCTATCAATGCTGGGCAAGCAACAGCCTTGGGAGCGGGGAGCCTCTCCTTTAATTCTCAGCTGCTGGAAGGCTCAAGCTCACACTGCCTCCCTTCCCCAGCTGCAAAAAACAACATCTAGGGTCACATGGAGAAATCAAAAAAGGGAAATGACTTTCTTGTCTAGGCATGGTGAGACCCTAGAGTAACACTCTTTTCTTTTTAATAAGATAATACCATAATTGCATAAGCATAGCAGGGAAAAGAACTACGGGTCCCTACGGAATGGCCTCTAGCAGGTTAAGGAATTACATTCCAGATGTTTTTCATTCTGACCAAGTCCAGATGGACAGTGTGAGGAGGACGGTGTGATGCAGTGTGCGCTGTTAGCTCCCATGCAGTGTTCACGCATCTCTAGATCTACCCAGTTCTCATCTTCATAAGCATTCAAATGATCTAAGAATAAAAGAGTAAAATTTTCTGCAGGAGACGCCAGATGTGTACAGGCAATAATCAGATATCACCAAATCAAACTCATGCTACACTCTGACTAGTCTATGTTTCACTTTGACAGGCAGCCTCTTCCTTTTCCTTTCTCTTGCTCAATGGTGGATTGTTCTCTCCCTGGTAACTTGACTCCTGAATCTCTGTGAAGCCTTTCAAGAATCATCTTTACATGGTGGATTACACCAGGAAGATTGGATTTGTACTTCTTATAGGCAACACACCTTCATTAAACAGCTTTAATACTGAAATTGTATTATAGAAACCTTATTTGCTATAGTGGGTAAAAACAGGTTTAACCTTATTTGCTATAGTGGGTAAAAACAGGTTTTCTTGCCATCTAACAAGGATTTGCACAGCAGAAAACATCACATTTTCTTCCTCTCAAACGTGGTCTTGAAAGCAATACTGAAACCACTGGATGTTGACCCATCAAGATAAAGAGACATGCTGCATTCAGGGGATGAAATACAATCCAAATAGCAAAGAGAAATGCATTTAGTCAAAGGTCAAATCAAAACGTACCACGCTACGGCTCATCTCCTCGGAGGTGAGGAGCTCCATGACAATTCAGCGTCAGGCAACTGGAGATCCTTTGTTCCAAACAGAAAATTCAGAAAGATAAAAATAAATCGCTTGAGTTAAAAAAATAAAAAAGTGAAGAGAAAGCTTAACAGTCTAGTAACTTCATATTAAATGGCAAAGGCATTTACTATTTCCTTTGAGAAGTTACAAGCATAGATCAAGCTATGTCAGACTCAAAATATTAGCAAACTTATTCCCAAATCACAAACTCACGCTGCCAAAAACACTACATCAGAAACTACACTATAAATCCGCATTCTCTAAGTTGACATAAGCAAGGATATGGGTGGATGTGCACTCAAATCTGTGATCCTGGGACCATGCTCGGCTTCTATGATTTAGACATAGCCTAGTCCTGTAATGGTTTTCAGTAAATAACTACCACACAGGAGATTTTTAAAAGGTGGTTTCAAGTATTCAACTGTGAAGTGTGAGAAAGGCTTTACAAAAAGAAATATCTACTTAGGAGAGTTTATTTGCACAATTAGTTTAAGCATGCATGGGCTTACATGCACTAACTATTTGTATATACAGATGTTTATCCTGGCATTTTCTGATTTTAGAGACGTAACCATGACATCAAAAGCACGAAGCTGATCTCTCAGTAGGAAGGAAAGGGTTTCTCCAAAAGGCAGCTCAGAAAAGGAGTCTAACCTGGGTAGTTTGTATTGTATCTTACAAAAGCCCCTCTCTGTTAATTAAAATAGAGGCTTTGCTTCCCTGCTCACAAAGTAGTGGAAATTCTTTTTTACATGTCCATTTACTGAATCTCACTATTCATTAACACCAAGTCACCATGTACCAATTACTACCTTGTCCAATACCTTACAAATATAAACATATATATATCTTGAAAAGAATACATCTATAGAGAGAATTTTGCACCACAGAATGCAGCTGCAAACACATATCAGCAAATGGCTTCTCTATTCTCTCTATTCTGTCATTCTTCTCAACAGGACTTGGGACCTTCTTGTCTTTATTTGAAATTCTAACCTGCACAGATACTACTTACCAGTGAATAGGGTTTCCATGGCATGGATTCCTAACAGGATCTACCTTTCTGAGCAGCTTTGTGTTAAGTAATTTAGGACTATGATCTCCATGATGTATTTTGAAAGAAACAAAAGAAATTGAGCTTTCAAATGGAAGCAGTTCATTTGAATTGGAAACCAACACAGAATAGGTCAGATTTTGGGGGATCTGTGATAAAGGAGTTCAGAGAAAATTCAGACAGTGGTTCAAAGCCCTACATCCAGCAAACTAGAAGAGCCTGTACTATAAGTAGAGATTTTAAGCACTTTATAGTTCCTACTGGAATACTTCACTTGATGAAGATGCCTTTTTTTTTCCTTGTCTGCTGAGAAAAAGAAGTCATGTACCAGAATACAATATAGAATCACTAGAAACAATTATTAGGAGCTTTAAAGGGTAAATGGTCTTTTTTTCTTTTCCACCTTCCCAAAAGGGAGAGTTACAAAATAAAGCTTTCTAAATTTTTTAACGAAATTGATTTCCATGTCTGTGATATATGAGACAAGAGTCAAACGAACATCAAAACTGTAAGGCAAACAGACATTCTATTTTTATAATGGAAAGCTCTAATAGCTTGAGGTTTTTACTAAAACACTGAACCTTTGCTGCAGCACCGAGTTCCTTCTACCAGTTGACAGCCAATATAATGACTATCCTGGCCTTTCCTCCATTCCTTAAACCAAGGTAAAGGAACTTTCAGGATTATTACTGAAATTTGATTTATTTAGGGAAAGCAATAGCAAATTTCTTCTGCCTCTTTTATAAAGTAAGTTTTATAGGTAATTAAACTAAACAATAATTTTGGACACGTTTATATCACAGTGCTGGCTGCTGTTGTTGCACACTGTTCCACTGCTGTATAGGGAAAAGAGATGCAGTCACTATGTCAACAGCAGCACTGCAGTAGTGACAACAAAAGGGAAATCTTCTCTGAACTGCATCATGTTATTTTGCTTTAGTCTCTGTCTTGGGCCTTGTAACAAGACAAGGGACAGACAAGGCTGCCTTGTGATACCCTGGGCCTTCCCCAGACTGCTCCTTTTCCCTCTGTAGTCACTCTAATCCCACATTTATAATTTTTACCAATGAAAACATCAACAAAACCTGGAAAATTTCCTTTCTGCCTTTGCATAAAAAACAATGTAAAAATCAACACTATTCCTTTTGGTTCCTTCCTGGCTTAGATGTGATTTCTGTTCTCTTCTTGTTCATCAACCAAACCGCTAAACCAGACAAAAGCCCAAGGCACCACATCTTTCCTCACATTCCTAGGACAACGTGCGTGCCCACTCTTCTCAGCACTGACTTCCCACAGCCAAGACGGGCAGCTCCGAGCGCTGCCGCTTCCTGTGGCTGACCCTGCTCCCGCCGGCGTGGCAGGTCCTGCCCCCTCCCTCACGCTCTCAGTCCAGAGGGCTTCTTTCTTTCATGTGAGGTTCCAATAATAAAGATGAATTCAACACAGCTACAGCATATGCTAGATAGAGACTGTGAAAACGCTTTTCTCTGCAATCTTGTAAAATAAGCATTTGACTGTTGAGAGTTTAAGCAAGGCCTCATGGATCCAGAGTAAACTTCTTTTGCGGGGTGGAAACCTCAATATTAGCTGCAGAAACGTTAACAAGTCCATTTTTATTTTATTTCATTTTTAATAAAGCCTCCCTTATCCGAACTATCATTTTGGTTCATATCTAGTACTGGCCTGCACTCATATTATGCCTTTTTAATTTTTGAAGTAAGTTCAATTATTATGATTAAGGCTTTACCTTTACTCAAATCAACCTTACTGATACCAGAGGAGTATTTGTGCTACCACCAGTAGGATTTAGATGACAGTTGATTAAAAAACTCAAACAGTTGTGCGAGCTTCTGTTTTTACTGGAGAAACAAACAATAGAATAAAAATTGAGGAACACAGTTTGGGCAATGTTAAAGTTTTAAGTTCTTGAAAACAAAGTCTTCTCACAGGATTTCAGCGCATATGGCATAAAAGAGAATTACAGAAAATACTGTGCAAGCTGGAAGGCCTTTATGCTGACATAATGGTTACATTGGGAGTAATGAAGAAAACCAATGTTGCAAAATCTTGCGGATTCTAGCACAGGAACCAACTCGAACAATAAGAAGAAAAAAAATATACGGAACCGAAATAATTAGACTGGCTTAATTGTAACCATTTCTAAATAACGACAGGCATGGAAATGTTCAGTAATTTTGTAAGAGAAGTAACCTGTGAATGGCAAAAAGCAACATTTTCTTCAAAATGCACAGCTGGGAAGAGAACAGGCAACCTGTTCAACATAAATCTTGTTCATTCTTCTTTCACACTGTCTTGAAAATCCAGTCCCGTTGTCTCTGGGAAAACTCTGGTTTGGCTCTTCATTGCCTTAGATGTCCGCAACTGAAACTTCCTCCCCCTGGTTTCAACAAATCCACTTTCTTCCCTTGCAAAACCATTTGAAGTGTCACAGTAAAAATGACTTGTCACCTTTATTACACCTTCACCTCCTTTGCATCCCTTGTTGATCTGTTTTTTCTCCTACTGCATCAAACAAGGTCCGTATCTTGCTATCATGAGATTGCAACTGGCCAGCAAGGGTAGGGAACGCTCTCTGGCCGCTGGTGCTTTCCTGACCCAGTGCCTTCCTTTTTTTTTTTTTTTTTTCTCATTTACGAGCTCCCCTTTGCAAAGAATAAGCTTTCCATAAGTAAACCTACAAAGTCACTTCAAATTTCTTCTTAAGACGTAATTACTGTTGCTTTCCAGTGCACAAAGCACTCGACAGTGAATCAGTGCCCCCGTGCTGTGGCTACATCCTTCAAACCTATTCCAGACTCTCAAGCTTAGCTGGATGCTACCTATTGGTTTGTAGCTGCTCATCTTATCACACACTCAAGCTACAGGATGTGGGAGGCAAGGGCTGGGCTTTGTTTCCTGAAGTGTGCGAGCACTTTGGAAACACTCCACGTGAGCTGCGAGGACCGGCTGTGCGCAGGACGTTCGCGAGGCCTCAGCTTGCATGAAGACAGCAAGTTTGCGAGCCCGCTGCCCTGGGGTTCTGGGCATGCAGGGACTGCCAAGTACACCGGGCTACGCTGACCTCGTGCAGGGAAAATAAAATGGGGAAATGACCGGTGTTTCCTGGCAGGAGGTCAAATGTACATTTTGGTTCAACTGTGCGTGGATGTGAGCACACGTGGATGTGTGTTCATACACATGAACTCATGTACGCCAGTGAAGGCATATCCTGAAAAGAAATAAGAGGCTAAACAAAACCAAAACAAAAGAAGAAAAAACAAGCAGTCCAAATGATCTGAAAGAATATTCCTTCTCAAAAATCATGGACTGCTCACTGTGAATGAAGGTGGCAGAAGCAAGTCCTTGGAGTACCAAATCTTCCCTGAATTCTGAGAAGCCCTTTAGTTTATCATTCCTTCATTTTCTGAAGCTCAAAATATCTAAGCGCATTTCTTCTTTATGAACATTTTAATACAGACATTATATTGCAGTGTTAAAATTGGAATGTCATTTCAGGAAAACCTATAGCCACTGATGACAAACATATAAAACACAACAAATAAAGAAGTCAGCATGAAAAACTTCTTGGGAATAATACAGAGGCATCTGTAAATAATACGGTTTTTATAGAAAATACACACAGATCACTGAAAGTAACTATGAGCAAGCTGATAAGGGAAAAAATATGAGGATATCCATGTAAATACTGAGTAAAAATTGGAGCTTGTAATGTAACACATGCACAAAATATGGATTTAAAGTAAACCCCTCTAGCAGCGCATTTGAAACACTGCTATCAACCTAATTTTAAGGGGTCTCCCCTCTTTCCCACTTGCCTCTTATCTACACTATTTCTATCAACTGCATCCAGTGATCTAATAA